TGTTTAATTTTATAGATCTAAATATTTTTTGGTTCAAAAAATATTTAGGGGCTTAATCGTTCAAAATATGAATGTTCATTGGGTTTTTTTCCGGATTTTTTTCACTATTTTACCACTTTAACTAGTTGTACAAGTCATAAGAATGTATCCAACATGTTTTATAAAAGTTCAAGAAGTTATTTAACATATTTTGGATTGTTCATGACTTATTTGTTCCAAAAATTGTCCAATAACTTATTTAACATATTTTGGAATGTCCAAGGACTTATTTGTTCCAAAAAATTGTCCAATGACTTATTTAACATGTTTTGTAATGTCCATGAACTTATTTATTCCAAAAAAAAGTCTAAGGACTTAATCATTCCAAACAAGAAAGTCCATTGATTTTTATTGTACTTTTCCCTAATCATAAATCTCGTAAATATTTGGTAATTATTATTAATAGACATTTGGACTGTTTAGTCTTGCGTAAAAAGGAAAATGGGTACATTTTTTTTAAAACCATCTTAAATTATTAAAAGTTATTTTTTTGTTAGTGTAGACGGATATGCATAAATATATTGATGAATTACAAATAATTATAAAAATATTTAATATTTTACTTGTTATAAAGGTTTTTCTGGTAAGCGCTTATCTAAAGGGCAAGTGATTATCCGGTCAATGATGGAAACGACTCTTATCCGACAAGCGTTTTACCATGTTTAACACACTTACCAACAATCGATTTTAATGACCCATATTATTACATGATAAAATAAGTGAAGGTAATAGCAAGCATTACCTAGTAAATGTTTGGTAAACAGGCCCGAAAACACACAATTCTTGGCACCAAAACTAAGAAAGCTCAACAGCTTAAATATCATCCGTTCGAGTATCCGTACAGCCACTGGAAGGTTTGTTAAGGTTCAAATTTCAAAATAAATCATACATGCAAAAGAAACAAACAATACGACACCTATCATTGCCACATCCAAGTATTGTATTGTAAAGAGAATTTAAAGATAAATTTATGTTCATACCATATTCATTCATACAAAGCAAGGGAGTTGCCATTTTAGCTTTCTTATTTAACATCCAGAAACCAAGAGATTAATAGTTTTGACACCACTTTCCGTTTGTTCGAACATTGGCATAAGGTGGTCAAAGAACAGGCATGTTTGCATTGTGAAGATGGTTGGTCTACATGAAGTCCTCTTCCAGTTCTTGTAAGGACTTGTGGGTTGACGCGATATCTTTATTGGATGTCATTTTGTCGGCAACCATCAGATTTTTGTAGCTCCTTACCTCTGCTTGTCGCTCCTTTTCCAGCCTTTCCATCTCCTCTCGTCGTTTCTGCAAACATTATGTTATCATAGCATTGAAGGAAACCTTTTTATACAAATGTAATTAAAACTATGCAAATCGGCTTTTTTTCTTCCACCACTGTGCACCAGTCAAATAGGATTCTTATTTTCTTTAACTTGTAGATTCTAATTTATGTATATAGAGTTTTGCTATTAATAATTGGGGATTGTGATTTGTTTAGTCAATCATTTTCTGTCTCGAGTCTAGTTAGACTTTCTCTTAATTCCCAAAGATTTGACACCTAAATTGTTAAAAAGAAAGAACTGAGAGTTCTCTCTTTCATTGCATGAAGCAATCACCTTAGTGTATCGTTTGCGAGATCCTAACGTTTCATCTTGGAATGAAGCATTGAAAACCTAGTTCCTTTTATTGTTTTCTTCTCTCAACTTCTCTCCACTTTTTCATCCTACATTGCACTAGGCAGATTTTGCAATTTCACTGTCTTGTAAGACATCCATCACCTGCTGCCAACCAACATCACAGGCTGAAAGACAGACCAATAAAAATGTTATGGGACTTTACACATGATCTTTATTCTAATTATGAAATTAAGGCAAGAAAACTAGCATCACCTTCTTGGAAACAGGGATGCATCTACAGCTTGCTACATTCCCATATAGAATGCATCCTGAGTGAGGCAGGGTGGGGAGTTGACTGCCTCCTCAATAACTAGCATCACCTTCTCGGAAACAGGGATGCATTTACAGCTTGCTACATCCCCATATAGAATGCATCCTGAGTGAGGCAGGATGGGGAGTTGACTGCCTCCTCAATTAGTTGACCACATGCAAGGGAATACAAAAAGGCAACTTTGGTCTTCCACAAAAGTGGGAGAAGGTCGAGACAGAGACACCAAGATCTTTTTCTTGATGGTTTAGACTATGACAAACTAAATAAAAGTAAAAGCAGGATAAGACCGATGTCCAACTATGCATCTGTTTTAAGTTCTTTATTTTATTGTTTGGTTTAAGACTTATTGGACTTGTTTACATACACATATATTTATGCAGCATGCTCGTATCCTTGCATTTTTCAAGTCTCTAAACCACTCTATCCATGAATGCCACACAACTATCATTGCAACATAGGTAGTGTGGTGATGCAAGGTACAACATAGTGAGGAGAGCTTATGCCTTCCGCCATGAATATGAGGATGGCATTCCATACCCATATATCTCTACATATGCGTCATCTATTAGATATACCACATATCACAGGCACGCATATCTCCGCTTACTTATTTCTTGCATATAGAAAGCACATAAATATTACTCACTTTGTCTCTCAGCTGCTGTTTCCTCTCTGCCCTTTCGGCCGCATTGACTGCTTCACGCTCAGCTATGCAATAACAAGATGAAATAAGCTAATGACACCAGTGAATTATTAATTAAGGTCATTGTCAAAGTTTGTTTAACTTGACAAAAGAACCACATATGTGTATAAAGTACCTTTCAGATCAGGTTTTCTTTCCACCTTTGTCCTGTTTAGTCTATTAACTACCTCATTTATTCGCTTCTCCACTCTCACAGTCCGCACCTGAACACAAAACCAAAAAAAACCAACGATCTATGAAAATATCTCCCCTGTGAGAATTCAAGGACGCAAATGCAGCTCAGAAGGCATACTAGAAGTTATATATTCCAACAGTAGAAGGGAACTCACAGCTTTATTGTTGTGGAAACCAACTTGACCAACATCCATGGATGGAGTCTTCTTTAGGTTTTGCCAAGAAGTATAAACAACATCAATGTTGTTCACTTTATTTCCTGCCAGGTACGACATACCATCACGGGATTATGGGAAAATATATCTATTTTTACAACACATGCTCAGGGGTATCACATAGCCATCTACCCACATGCTGGCTCCAATCTCTCCTCAGAAATGTGGTCCTACTACATGAACAAGCTTATAACCTCTTGCTGCTTATTTTAAACAGGTTCATCCACCTAAATGCCATTTCATAACTAATTCAATAGCAGGGTAGAAATTTAATTATTGGTGACTTGCTATCATATAACCTTAAAATGAGTAGAAGTAAAACTCGTATACAAAGCTTCTTAGCATTCATGCAAACAGGGTTCCAGGACTCGAGTAGTAAAACTGACCCGTATGAAATAATTTACAGTTCTATCATACAACAAAAATTAATATACACAGAGAATCGAAAGTGTATATGCACTTGCCTTGGATAGAATTTGCTTTGACAAGCTGAGCACAATCTTCAAGAAGTCCTTCGGATATGTCATCAATTGTCTGACCCTTGCGCATCCTCAGATAAACATGGGCAGAAGACATTTTATCCACATGGAACCTGCGGTAGAAAAAATCCTGTCATGAAAAACTAGATATAAGGTGATAATAATCAATGAAACAAAGAAATTTCAGTGCTTGTGGCCGAATCAAACCCCTATCAAAATTATATAAACATGTCAAAAATGCAAAAACAAATGATAAAAACCATGACGAATCTTCAATAAACTCAGGTAAAGAGAAAAGTTAAATATGCACCATAGATAGTAGCATCACATAGGGAGATCCTCCAGCCAAAAGTTAAATAATCAAACAAGGGGATGCCTTCTAACTCCTCCGGCTAGCATGCCCATACCTAGGAGATGGTAGCACCAGTAGCATGCACCCACCTCCGCAAGAAGTCCAGTCAAAGGACTCGCAGGATCCTCCCATGGTGAATGTCAATCTCCTGAAATAATTAGTGTGTTGGCTGCTAGTCTACCATAGATAGAAGGGTCCTCATTCTGTTACTCATTTGATACAAATGGAGCCTGCTATTCATAAGCGAAAGAGCTGTAACATATAGGTAGATTGATTAGGATTAGAATTAGGATTAGGACCACTCATACTAGTCTGCCACAAATGCATATCCGACGCCATCATCAAGATTTGTGAAAGGCCTGCCTAGGTCTGAGGTCCACAGAGATACAGATTTAAAACCCTACCTTGTTTAATGTCAATCGGGTCTAATGGCGCAAAGACCTCAGCCTATAAGAACCGAGGCATGAGACACAGAATCCACTGAAAAAGCATGCAAGTCGTTCTGTTCAGCTACCTTTTGTGAAACAAAAAAACAGTGAACAATCAGTTTAGGGCCTTTCCTCCTCCTCATGTATGTCTGTCGTCTCTTCATTTATGTGCTACCTCTTCATCTCTTGAGCTATTGTGTTTTCTACTTGATCACTCTATTTATGAACTTAGATTTGGATGTCAGTGATAGATATTTTAGATGTTGATCGAGTGCCAATTGCTTTTCCCCCTTGACATGTGCATGTGTGTGTGTCAACAACATGAATATCAGTGGTTAACTAATGTTGGTGTCAGATTAGGCAAACAGTTGGTATTCTTCAAATAGTGATTCTTAAAACACTAATCTTTTTCAATGACAATTACAGAGGGACATGACATGTTGCACAATAAGCAAGGAAGTCCATAGGGTAATACAGCTATGGTGCATGCCTCTAAGAACAAAGTCATTTCTGCGTTCAAAGAAAACATCAACCAATATTCTCAAGATAGTGAGTATTCCCAAAATGAATCCACTTCTCAATCCTCATGTAGCTGGAGATTTGTTAGCTTCACAGAATGTTTTTAGTTTACGTGGCTCCATCAATATCCTTTAATAATCATAGCGTAGTTGAGTGGATATCACACACATCAAGTTTCATAGATGTTAGTCATAGTCTTTATTGGTTAGACCTTGATGGCCTTAGCTAAATGGCATCAATTGCTAGTCTGGCTAGGCAGCTTTTGGTTTTGGTTGTGGAAGATCTAGGCATTAGTCTAGCATCCAGTGCTTTTCTCAGTTTCATAGCTTGGATAAAACTGTGTCTAGCTCAAGGTTATGCCTCTCAAATGTAATAACAGTCATTTCCGCTGTTCCCAATGAGCTAATGTTAATGGTGTATATGGATGTAGAAAAATATATCAAGGAAGAAATAGGATGCATTAAACTCCCACTTAACCTATAAGATCATGAAGAACATATAAATATAAACTAGCCACAGGGGGAACTAAAAGCAATAAGACTACACAAGAATATAGAGGTAATGCATAAGAACCATACAAGAAATTAGAGAGAAAAAGGAGGATAGGATATACAAATTTAGTAAAGATAAGAGAAAAGGAAACTACGGTTTAAAGTTGCATCTAATCCATCAAGAAAAAGATTCAAAGAACTTTAAGTTAAAGAAAGATTAATTTGGCAACTTTTTATTGAAAATATTGGATATAATACTCCACGGCTCTTGTGGCAGACACTAGTAAAAAGTCTGCAAGAAGGATCACAGTGTTGACGAAAAAGGAACAGTGTAAGGTCTTTACCAATCCTGTTATAGAGCTCTCAAAAGCCAGAGGCATTTAAGCTCTTATAAGAAGTTGTTAGGGAATACGCTCCTCGAAAGGCTGAGCAAAAGGGTGTTTACTTGTTTTGAGTTCCTGACAATAAGGTAATTTCTCAGCTGGAATTGCTGGCTTTGCCTCGGCCTCTCTGCCTACAGTCTAAGGACCCTATTAACAAATTTCAATGTTCTGGTTTCGGCTTTGAAGGAAGCACTAAGGAGAAATATAAAACTCTAGAGCATGATAGAATTCTAGAGAGGTAGATATACTATCGCTTACAAGATTATAACAAAGTTAGTACTTGATGAATGGAGGAAGAGTCTCCCAGTGCCAGCTTTCCAAATATAAATGGGAGATTTAGAATCATGGAGAAACAAAGCTTACCAACAAAACTTGGTGCAAGCTATTGTACATCAATTGAGAATAAACATTAAGGTTTGAAAAAATCAATTTGGTTTTATTTTCTTGATTAAATGAATTAACAAGAAATATGATACACCAAAAAGGATCAACCTATGGTGGTTATTGATTAAGAGAATGCATATAATAGATGCCAAGAAAGAAAAAGGGTGGGCGTTAGAGTGATGGAACAAAGTCCCTACAACATATGTCCATCTTACAGAAGATATATACTACAATGTGGTAACAACTAACAAGCATAACAGTTTATGATGGTGATGCATATACTTTCCATATTACCAAAGAACACACCCTTATTCTTGCTTTAGATGCATGAGTTGAAAAAATATATAGGTGATGATATACCATAGTGTATGCTTTCATCAATCATATGCTGTTAATTTTTTATTGTTTTTGAAATGCGGACAGAACCCCTGGAAAATATATTAAAACAAAATAGAAGGAAGGAATACCAACTATTGATTTTAGAGCTCCCGTCTTGTTCAATTTTTTTTAAGACGTGGGACTCGGGTCCCACTCAGTTGCAAGTCCATTCAACATGTGAGAAAAAAAGAGGTTTAGATGCAAAATTGCAGGTTTAGAAGAACACCTTGGAATCTATAGGTTTTAGATTTGTTTGAAACAAAGCAGAGGATAGGTTTTAATAAGAAAAGGTAGAGGCAAAAGCATTACTGAACAAGTTGCTAAGATATTGTATATTATTTGTCATAAATTTTAAGGGAAGATGGAAATTTTGATAAGTATGGTCATATGATAGAATAAGAGCTATCAAGATGTGTCCCTTCCTTTGACCCCTTTTCCGAATTATTAGTCTTGTCCCCCTTGCGTGTCATAATCAAAGGCTCCTTAGAATGACGAATTGACGATAAGACCTACTATGATAAATGGGACATGATGTAGAGAAAACAAGAGACATGTACAGTGTACACAAGCTGTTTGTGACAGAAATACCAATGCCATGTGGGAATTCATTAAGGGATGAAATGAGCAAAACATTAAAATGCACTTGTAAGAGGATACTTCTATTATTAATAGTTGTTAAAAGAGGAAAAGGTCAAGCAAGAACCCCGAGAGTGACATGAGATCAAGAAGTATCATAGATTCGTATGGGTGGTACAAGAAAATTGTCCTCAAATTGGAGTGTGTGAAAGGTCACAAATTTTTATTCATAAATTCTTAGGGGATTCGCTGACCAAATGTTTGATGTTGAATTGCACAATTCTCTATTTTATTTTATTTCCACTTTCAGCCTACCCCATCAAGATTGCAATCAAAGAATCATTTTATAGTTATTTATTATTCTTTAACAAGTAGCTTATTCTTTTTATGTGTGTTGTTTATCAATGCTAAATGTTAATAAATGTTGATAAAGAACTAGTAAACTCCACGTTTAAGCATGCATGCCAATTCAACCTATGTGTGTGATTTTTATGAAAGCTATGCACTTTCACTTTGAAAAGGTGTACACCTCACCTTGCACCGATGCCTAGGCTTGGGCAAAACTTTGCACCTTAGTGCGCCTTGCACCATTAATTCAATCATCCGATACTAATGAGTCCACTATATGTATTAAGTACAGCAATATCCATATCCCAAACCTTTTGCCAGGAAGAAAACATTTATTTCGATAACTATGAAACAAAATGCACAAGGTCTACAAAAGGGTAGCTTTCTACAGGAACAAAATAAAAATGGAAGGCATACATAATCAACATACCAATCTAACAGTTCTTTAAAAAAGTTTAGTTCAAGTTGATCCAGTGATAATGTTGTAAATCTATTATACTAGAGAAATTGGGGACATTTCTTTCCCTTATTATTATGTGTTCATTTAATGTTCTATAACTAATTATAATTATCCTCACTCTGATTATGTGTTTAGCAAGGCATTTCTTTAAGTTAGATACGTGGAACGTATTGTGTATTCCCATAAGCTCTTTTGGTAATTCAAGTTGATAAGCTACTGCCCCTACCTTTTTGTCTATCCTGTAGGGTCCAATATATCATGGTCGTAATTTTTCCCTTTTTGCCAAAACGTAGCACCCCCTTCCATGGAGATACTTTCATTAGTACTTTGTCATCTACTTGAAATTCAATAGGCTTCCTTCTTTTGTTAGCGTAGCTTCTCTACCTATCTTGCGCAACTTTAAGTCTCTCTCTTGTTTGAATCACCTTATCTGTTTTTGGTTGGATAATTTCAGGTCCAGCCAATTGCTTTTTATCGACCTCCATCCAACATACAGGCGTTCTGCATTTTCTTCCATATAAAACTTCGAAGGGTGCAGCTTGAATACTACTATGGTAGCTATTATTATAGACAAATTCAATAAGAAGTAGATGACTATCCCAATTTCCTTTTAAATCGATTGCACATGCTCGCAACATGTCTTCTAAGGTTTGAATAGTCCTTTCACTTTGACCATCAGTTTGAGGATGGTACGTTGTACTCATTCTAATCTGTGAACCCAATTCCTTCTAGAAACTTCTCCAAAAATTTAAAGTAAAAAGACCATCTTGATCGGAGACAATTGATACATGCCT